ATGTTTTGAGAGGGCGCAGTTTCAAAATGACAATCACAAAAAAGCAAGCACAAATACCAAACTTAATAAAGCAAAAACGTAAGAAAATTGAGAAAACAAGCAGGAGCGACTGCAACAGGCTGCACGCGCGGGCGCATGCACACATACAAACAGCACTTCACAGAAACCTCCGCCGCCGACCAGTATTTTGGAGGTGTAACTGCAGAGTGACACAGACACGCCACCGCACAAGTATAAATTCTCACAACGACGTAGGTGACGTGTGTAGGCTACATGCGTAGGGTCTACGCACAACCATAAATCTTGCTTTAGGGGAGGAGAGAGACATCACTGACACACAGACATCCCTGAGAAAGATCACTGCAGAAAGAATAAAAGCACATATGTACTAAAATAATGACCTGGGTCATAAAAGTTATGTTGTATTCTTCAGAGTCTAATGTAGAAGTTGTTACAGGTACTCTCGGTTCCTAGTGACTGAGACCCAGCCAGAGATGTGAGTAGGAACTAGTCCAGTCCAGTCTTAGCTCTCCTCTTGGATTAGTCTGAAAGCCCTGACACGCCAAGCCAACAGTCAGCTGTTGGTCAATGTCAGGACATTGGTGAGCATCTGTCGTCCAAGTTTGTGCGATGTGTTTCCCCTCGTTCACGATGTGTTTCCGGTCTCCCTTTTTGAATGATTATTACAGACTACTGCCATCTGCTAGTGTGGAGAGTTATTTCCTTTCACGCAGTCACAAAACATACATGCTGGTTGGCCGTTGGCTATAGTCTTAACGGTGTGTTCATGTGCACCTTTTTGGCTGACACACAGATGATGTGAGGCAATGCAACAGTTGGCTTTCATGGCCGCTAGTTCTTTGAAGTTGGTTTGGTGTGTCTGGGCAATAATGCAACTTTGTGTGTGTGTTTGTGCGTGTGTCTCGTAATCTCAAAATGTGGTCCTTGTTAAAGTTAAAGTCCCACTGATTGTCACACACCTGAGTGTGTGAAATTTGTTCTCCGCATTTGACCCATCCCCTGAGGGAGCGGTGAGCAGCAGTGGTGCTGTGCTCGGGAATCACGTGGTGATCTAACCCCCCAATTCCAGCCCCTGATGCTGAGTGCCAAGCAGGGAGGCAATGGGGCCCATTTTTATAGTCTTTGGTATGACCCGGCCAGGGATCGTACCGCTAGGCCACTGAGCTTGTGACACCTATTGTTGCAGGACCTATCACAGAAGCCATGAGTACTTCGCTTATATGTCTGTCTGTGGACAGATTTTTCAACGCAATAGCCGCACAACCGTACAAGATGCAGTCATGAAACTTTCCAGGTGTGTAGTTGAGATGAAATGAAGGACAAAAATGAAGATGGGTGTGGTCCGAGGAAGGAGGCTGATCATAAATATGATTTCAGTAAAGTGAATAGTTGTCAGTTCTTTTAATATAGTAGTAATAAATAAATAAATGTCAGTGTTTAGGGTAAGGAAGGATCATCATTCAGTATCCTTGTCTCCCGAAGGTAGAAGCGCCTCCTGAGACTCCTTAGTGCTGCCTGGTGTAACTAGTACCTTCTTACCGTCTTACTGTGATCAGGCCCACCACAGCTGTGTCATCAGCAAACTTATTGATGGTTTTGGAGTTAGAAGTGGTTACACAGTCATGTGTGTACAGGGAGTACAGCAAGGGTCTCAAAATGCAGCCCTGGGGTGCTCCTGTGTTAAGGATGAGGGTGGAAGAGGAATGTCCGCCCAGTCTTACCACCTGGGGTCTGCCTGTCAGGAAGTCAAGAATCCACAGGCACAGTGAGGTGTTAAATACAAGCTCTTTGAGCTTTGTGACCAGCCTCAAGGCTTTTATGGAGTTCAACACTAAACTGAAGTCTGACTATGGCTTTGACCAAACTAAGAGTCAAAGTCTGTCTTTGTGAAACTGGCTTGAGGTCTGATTGTCCTTAATGCACACATTCAGGCCCTGTTTAGACGACAACGGTTTATCTAAAAACGGAAAAGTCTGTCCTTTGGTGGAGTGGAAAGTGGAAAGGCTGTAGTATGCACACCAGGCCAATGGGTGGATGGGTGGCAGTGTAAATTTGCAAAGCAACACCACGGCATGACACCATGCACCTGCGCTGAAGTGCCTTCCTCTACAGCGCGGTGATTACAAACCCAAACAAAGAAGACACAATGGCGAATGCATACACAGATAACTTTGTTTGGATGGACGACGAGGTGGAGTTGCTACAGTAACAGATCTACACCTAACTTCAAATCAACAGGGTGAGCAGCACAAACAGAGCTCAGCATTGTTGTTGTGACCATAGACATATATACGTAGACGCAGCATCAATTGGGTTTGTCCGCTGCTGTGATGCGTCAACGTTGCCGCGTTGGATGTGGCAAGGCTGCACTGTAAACTAATACAAGTAAATGGACTTAATTTCATAAAGCGCCTTTCTACAAAGAAATTTACGTTAATGCCTCTCGTTTATTCATTCACACACGCACTAATATACTTGGGAAACAGTTAGGCACCAAAACCAATGTATTTGATCTTCTCAGATGGCTAAGATAAGAACTTGATTGATCCCACACAGGAGTAATTCATGTTACATCAGCTATAGAGAACAAGTTAGTGCCGAAAAACAATACACAGTATATATAGGCTACATGACGTGTGGAAAGGATGACGCAGTTATTCGGCAAACCACCGTTTATTACTAAACAGTACAGGTTACTGTTGGCCGTAACCACGCTAAAACAACCAACAAACAAGAACTTCGCTGTAACTCCAACTGTGCACTCCTGCTCTCTCCTCCAGCTCGCTCCTACACACACCAGCATGCGCACTCACACAGCCCTCATCCCCGTCACACTCGCATCCCACCCCCCTGCCTATACTCATTCAATCCCAAACATGCCATTAACTCACAGAACATTGACATTGTAACAGAACATTTACTGCAGGGTCGCTACAATACATATATATACAGTGTTTCCACTACATTCATTTAGCAGCAGCGGCAAAACAATCTATTTTGCAAATGCACCACCACCGCTCTGAGACATCTGTGCACTTGCACAGCGCAGCAGCCAGTGTAGTGAGGAGAGCAGCGGTGAGGGGAGGGGGGAGTGGGGGAAGGCTCCTATTTAGGGATGCACCAAATATATTCGGCCGAATATTGCAAAAAACACACATTCGGTATTCGGTGGAATAAGTGAAAAGCAAGGCCGAATAATAGCAGCGTGTTTTGATAACGCAATCAAACAGTGTGTGGTGACGGACGGAGTAAAATGTCGGCAGTGTGGTGATATTTTACTCCGTCCGTCAACGCACTTGCATTTGCAACTAAAAATAGTTTTGTGCGGGCAAAATAAATCATTCAGCACGCTGTGTGAGTACAGATTTCAACCAGCATCAGAAACTAAACGGCTAATCCCGTCGGTTGTGGGTTGAACGGGGGTCACAGACATGGACAGGAATACGTATTCCTGTCAAATACGGCGGCGCATTATAACGGCTTACCGGCGACGGAGAAGTCCGGCTCCAGGTGAATAACTTGTTGTCATGACTGCCCAAAAGTACCTGAACAGCCGAGCCATGGCGGCACACAGTATGTGGCGTATCAGAGGAGAAACGAGCCGTTCACATTTCTCTCTTTGTGGCAGGTAACGGTCCACAAACCTCACCGCACTTTAGGGACTGTTCTTTACTTATAAAGGGACTTGTCAGGGGAGGAGGGTGGCTGGTTGATTTTTATTTCATTTATTTATTTTATTTTGTTCCCCTCTGTGTTAATCACTTATTGATGCTGTTTTTGAAGTATAAATAAGTCAATAAGTAATTTATTCCATTGAAATATCATTGATGTACTATAGAAAAGTGATTTATCTTTTTATAAATGACAAAAGGCACATCTGCCTTATTTTTGCTGTGGTATCGTGATACTTCTCAGAACCGTGATACTTTCACTGGTATCATACCGTGGGTCCCAATTTTGGTACCGTGACAACACTAATCTGGAGGGGGTTCATCTGCAAAAACTAATGAAAAACTAAAAAACGGCATTCGGTACTTGGTACTCGGTACTCGGTATTCGGCCAAGCGTTTAATATTATTCGGCTTCGGCTTCGGCCACAAATTTTCATTTCGGTGCATCCCTACTCCTATTGGAATTAACGTTATTCGCCCCACCCCCCCCCCACCCCACCCCCCATTGTACATTTGTACTGTTTCCCAAGTCAATTAGTGCGTGTGCGAATGAATAAACGAGGCATTAACGTACATTTCTTTGTAGAAAGGTGCTTTATGAAATTAAGTCCATTTACTTGTATTAGTTTACAGCGCAGCTTTGCCACATCCAATATGGCAGCGACGTTGACGTATGGCTCAGCGCTTGATGCGGCGTCTACGTATATATGTCTATGGTTGTGACGGTCGGCGTGCCTAGTGACTAGAACCGTAATGCACATGTGCGAAAAGTCTCCATTTTCAGAGGAACTGCATATTGCAAGTTTACATGACAACGGAGACGCTGCCATTTCCAAAAAGTTGCACTCTGGAACCCGTTTTCTAAACGTTGCGTTTTCAGGCACCCAAAACGCAGCTCTCGTGTAAACGATCAGTCAAAACGCAACTTAAGTTTACTGTTTTCAGTTGAAATCGTTGTCGTATAAACGGGGCCTCAGTTTGTTTGCCATGGGCTTGCTCCTCTCTTGGGGAGATGTTTTGGTCTGTGAAGACTGATGTAAAGGCTCAGGAGAGTAAATGAAAGAAGTTGCTGTTCAAGTGTTGACACAAGGAGACATTGTGTCTCCTGTAGATGTATGATAAAAGTAACAGTAATGGGCATAACAAGTGGTAGGCTACATTGTCAGATATACTTGTGCTGTTACATCAGGTAGAAGTGTATTCTTGTCAAAGCTGCCGTACAAGCTGTCAACCCATGTTCATGCACATTTATAGAGCACCATTTATACAGACCTAACAGTAGGTGTTGTTTGTATATCTCCTCCTCAGCCACAACCTGCTGGACTCCAAGATCAACACTGTGCTGTCCATGTGCCAGGACACCAACCTCCTGAATCCTGTCCACGGCATTGTACAAAGTGTGGTGTACCACGAGGAGTCACCACCACAGTATCAGCCATCCTATCTACAAAGTAATACATGCTGACATTTCCACATTCATACAGGCCAAGCATGTTACAAAAGATTTTATTTTCACAAGTATTTTACAAATGACAGGGTAGTGGCCGACTGGAAGTAGGGGGAGAAACGGGTATTACATGCAACAAAGGTCCCAAGGCCAAACATATTAACTTCTCTGGTCGTACCAAAAGCTGTGACAGTTCATTTAAATGGATAATAAATCTGTGCCTTTGTAAGTAAATATGTTCACTCTGCCACCCCTGTCTTCTATGTTACCTCTCTTCCTACCTCCTCCCTTTCTTCTCTTCTCTCACTCCCTTTCATTTCCCAGGCTTTGGCTTTAATGGACTTTGGAGGTTTGCCGGACCCTTCTCTAAGGTATGTTACACACACACACACACACACACACACACACACACACACACACACACACACACAGCAGTGGCAGAAAGACTGGAGATTGGGGCGTTGGTGGCTTAGTGGTAGAGCAGGCGCCCCATGTACAAGACTGTTGCCGCAGCGGCCCGGGTTCGACTCCAGCCTGTGGCCCTTTGCTGCATGTCACTCCTTCTCTCTCCCCCCCTTTCACACTTGTCTGTCCTATCAAATAAAGGCTAAAAATCTAAAAAAAAAAAAAAAAAAGAAAGACTGGAGATCATTTCAGTTAATATCTAGTAGCTGCTCAGCAATTTAGAAAACATAGCAAACAGTTTAGAAAACGGAATAGAATGTAACTGTGCAGAATTAGTAGTGCAGTAGACATACAAACCATGTCTGACATATTTCATTGCAGAAGAAGGTGAAGCTAGACTTTTTATCCCACTGTTCACCCCATTATCAAGTCAATATTCATAATCCTGAAGGGAATGACATTGTTGTTCTGAGTAATTAAGAGACTGTAGAGGGATGGAAACTTTTTGTTGTCATTTGTAGTATTTACTACAGTTTTAATTAAATAGAGCTTAACAGTAAGTTTCAGCAATACACTATTACACTCACACAGGTGTTTGAAAGATTTGTCATCTTGAGGAAGAGTTCTTTGTTATTTGTTTTTGCATTTAAGCAGGAGGTCTCCTAGGATACACATCTCTCTAACAAAAAAGCAGTTAACACATCACCCCATTGAACACACAGTTAATTTACAGCATTCACAGAGAGCACAGTAAGGTAGCACCTGAGAGGCAAGAAAGACACGCTCATATTCATAATGCCAAACACTTAAGCCCTGTTTCCACCTAACACCTTGGGTATGATACTTTTGGAACCAAAAGTAACCCTTCAGACATGGTACCTAGACCCTAGGTCTGTTCAGTGTTTCTTCTGCAAACAATACTCTTAATTGTGGACGGGGTTGTTGTCACTGCTCCGTCAACCACTTGCTGTATTTCTTCACCGGTTACACAGAGGGAAGTCTGCACCTCATTTATTGTCCACAGAATGGGGTTACACGCTGACATTTTAGAACAAAATAGAACAGGCTGCAGTGAGTCTCTCTCAGTGGGATATTCAAAAATAGCAGGCTTGTGCATTTTGTCCTTCTCATGCACAGAGGTTTAATGTTGCCGTAGCCCACAAGAAAAACACTCCACAATGCTTTTTTCCCTTCAGAATATTTGCAGTTCACATAATCTGGTCAAAATTAATATATATTTTTAAACACATCCATTCATTACTAAGAGTGTATGCCGTCTAAGAGAGACAATAAAACTGGTCAGAGTTGTAATATTGAAATCTGAGGTGTGTTGATGGATTCACATTGTCATCTCATGCATTGAGTAACATTACAAGTTAACTCTCCACCTTAAAAGTTGTTGTTCTACTCCCACAGTGTGTAGTACAAAATGCAGCTCTGCCGAGTTCACAACAGACTTCAGAAACACTGATCAAGCACTTATTTGAAACACGACAAATCATTTTACAGAGGTAGACAGGAAGTTTTCCCAGAGTGGATTTAAAGATTAATCTTCCACTGGATGTCTTCACTGAGGTCCATCCAGTTACCGTGGAAAAGATACAGGGATGACTTTTGGAGCCGGAATTCAAAGGATGTCACCATTGTCGAAACAGCTAAAAATGTTGACCCAACAAGATTAGTTCATTCTGCAAATAGAAGGTGATTATTTGGGTGGAGTTTCTTTTAAAGGTTATCAGTGGGAGTATTATAAGCGAATATTTCATCCAGCCATAATTCATCGTATTTGTAGATATAGCTTTTTAATCTTTTTCTTGTAATTGTGCAGCACACAGGCCCGGATTATTCAGATATGCTCAAAATGTTCCCCTCTATACACTGATGAAAAATATCAAGCACTGCTAGGAAAGGTATGGAGCTATATTTGTGTCTTTATTACATGTGGAAAATAAATGATATGAGAGAAAATAAAATATTTGAGAGAAAAAGTTTTCACACTGATAGCAAAAAATAATAATATTTGAGACTAGAAAAAGTTTTGGGAGAAAGTATTTTGTCATAGAATATAAAAAAATAATAATTTGAGATTTAAAAAATGATTTCCGAGAAAAAAAAAAAAACTCTAAAAAAAACTTTTTTTTTTTACTCTCAAATATTATTTTTTTGCTATCAGTGTGAAAACATTTTCTCTCTCTCAAAACATTTTTCTTCTCTCTCTCAAAACCTAGGTCTTTGCTCTCATGTCAGGATTTTGCTTTCGCTGTGAAAATAATGTCATGGGTGGGGCCACGTTCCTATTGGCCAGTCTCAATCGAATTGACAGCTAGGTGAGGATCATCTTGGGAGTCGAATTCAACTGAATCATCCACCATGGTGGATTCACCGGCATAGATGCGCTGCGTTATTTGGGAGCGGATATGCATACATTAATGTTATGCATGTGTGGCCAAATGGAGAGGAGAGGGAAATGAACCGACAACGCCACCTGTGTAATTGCACCCCAGGGAATACACTCAAACCTGTAGACTACTCTTAACAACAGAAGATCACACAGATTCGTACACTGCTAAATATGGGGACAGGAGACGGACTTCCAAATTTAACAACACGGAGGTCCAAAGCTGCATGAATGCACAGCCGCGTTACAGTGTCCTTTAATCAGTCTGTGGAAAACCGGCAGAACAGCAATGGAAAACGGAGCGGCCGCACCGGGGCTGGAGGCCATGGATAGCCGTCATTCAGGATGCCCAGCTGACGGCCCACGTCACCAGGCTACGGAGTGCAGCCCCACACAGTGCGCAGAGAAGGAGAAGAAGCCACAAGCTGTGTTCTCAGCTACAGCAGGACAGAGAGCAGAACAACCTGTTAACTTAAAGTTAACAGAACTAGCAGAAGTAGAAATAAAAAAACAGAGCGAGCTTACCGGAGCGAAGGGAGCTTAACGCACAGCGCACAGCTCAAACCCAGTCACCGTCTCGCAATGAGGAAGAGCAGACACCACGCTTTTCCCCTCCGAAGCTGCACACAACAGGAACGGCCAACGCCGCTGTAAAGCGAAGAGTCACGGCAGCTGTGACATCATAATACGCTTTAACAGTACACAAACATTGCAGCACCCATGCCTACCTTATGAGTCCCAAGTTTGGGTACAGAAACCGGAGCACGACACACACAAAGCACGCCAACCGGAGCACGCCACACACAGCCCTCGCCAGGTAAATGCCAGGTAGAAGTGAGTGCGCCATGACGGGAAGACCAAATAACGCAGGTGCCACCACTGCACAATTAGGTTCCGACAACTGGAAATTAGGCCCAGCTGATGCCAGTTAAGGACGGAGGTGTAGCAGTGCTCACCCTGCCACACATGGAATGTTGGAAGAGAAAAGCACCGTAGTAAAGTAACATTAATGGGATAACCTAGCTAGATGTAAAGTTAACACTAGCTGGCTAGTGCAGTTAATAACACAATCTCGGTAAAATAACATCAGGTGAGAAAAGGGATTCATTATAGGAATGATTTTGATAACCAACTTGCTCAGCTAACTACCCATCAATTGTGTGTGTCATCATCTTACCCAAACATTGGAGTCTCCGTTCCCAAATAATGCAGCGCATCTATGCCGGTGAATCCACCATGGTGGATGATTGATTCAGTTGAATTTGACTCCCAAGACGATCCTCACATAGCTGTCAATTCGATTGAGACTGGATAGGAACATGGCCCCGCCCATGACATTATTCTCACAGTGAAAGCAAAATCCTGACACAAGAGCAAAGACTTAGGTTTTGAGAAAGAGAAGAAAAATGTTTTGAGAGAAACATTTTTTTGAGAGAGAGAAAATGTTTTCACATTGATAGCAAAAAAAAATATTTGAGAGTTAAAAAAAAAAAAGTTTTTTGAGAGTTTTTTTTTCTTCTCGGAAATCATTTTTTAAATCTCAAATTATTATTTTTTTTATATTCTATGACAAAATACTTTCTCCCAAAACTTTTTTTAGTCTCAAATATTATTATTTTTTTGCTATCAGTGTGAAAACTTTTTCTCTCAAATATTTTTTTTCTCTCATATCATTTATTTTCCACATGTAATAAAGACACAAATATAGCTCCATAAAAGGCAGCCACTCACTGCCATCCCAAATAATCATTAGCAAATGAAATCAGAAAAGAACTTAAGAAATTGATATTATTATCATTATTATGGTTGTAGTATCAATGGTGTACTGCAGTTCTGTGGGTGATTTGTGTAAGTGGTGTTGCTGTACCCCAGCAGCAACTGTTGCTCAACTGCTGTGGATAGGTCCAATGAAACACTGTACTGTCTCTCCATTTCATTCCATTCAAATGTATTAAAAAGTGGAACACTAGAATGAAATATGATTGTTATGAAGCCTACATCACTATCGACTATTGTGTTGTAAGGTTTTTGTTTAGTGTTATAAGTCATAAAAAGTCATAGTGTGTGCACTTTCCCTCTGTGGTCCTCAGTCATCTGTTTCCCTAAAAGTACAATCAGTTATTTAACTCTGAGAGGCCCTGATCTAAGGTTTTTGTTTTTTGAATGCTTTAAAATTGAAGCTTCTTAATGTGCCACTTTTCTTCTTCCCTGACACACACACGCCCACACACTCACACTCACACACAACACCACCTGCTAACCCTGCAGCAAACACAGATACCAGACTATGCCGAGCTGATTGTCAAGTTTCTGGAGGCGTTGATTGACAGCTACCTGCCAGCAGCTGATGAGCAGCGAGGGGAGGAGCAGCTGAGGACACCCACCTCCCCCTACCCCCCCACTAGCCAGAGCCAGCTCAGCATCACTGCCAACCTCAACCTGTCCAACTCCATGACCTCACTGGCCACCTCGCAGCACTCACCAGGTCACACACACACACACACACACACACACACACACACACACACACTCTCTTACTCTCTGCATGAACTAATGGGAAACTGTTGACTCTCCATGGCCCTGTTTCCCAGAGCCTTCATAGCGCTTACGTGCATCGTAAGTTGTATCTTAAGGTCTCCCATAAGCTTACGGGCTGTTTCCCAGAGTCTCCTTAGTGAAGATACATCTTCTGAAAGGTATCTGAACCGCTCGTAAGCTGTCCCTTAGTGATGCGCTCCATTCATCTTGTCACAGTTTTAGCTTTATTAGGCCAAAATTATGCTTTTTGAATCGATGGTTCACATCTAGACTCCTTGCGCAAATTACATCATTAGTTTTAAATTAACTTCATGGAAAATAGTAATGAATTTTGAATATTATGAATATATAGCTTTATTTATTTATTCATTCATTCATTCATTTATTTAATGGAGCTAACTAACTGAGGATATGTTTTTTCTGACGAGGCTGCAGGCTGTACCCTACCACTATATACTGAATATCTGACAGATACTTGACAAATTGATGAAATTGAAGTCTAATGAGGCCGGCTGGAAACTAATCACGTGGGAAGCACCAGCTATATAGGCGATCAAGCGTGTCACCTCTGCTTGCTTCACTGTAGACAAAATTATGGCTGTATTACAGGGTATCATTGCGCTCAATCAACTCAACCACAGGCGTCGCCATCCGCGACATCCCACCTCTCGTACGTGGGGCTCTGCGGGCACCTGTCAAACAGGGGTCGTGTGGAACGGGGGAGAGCCAGAGCACAAGTAACTTCGGGGTGGCGAAGCCCCCTCGGCAGGGGACTGGAGGGTGGACAGTCCCTCTCGACCACGGACATCAATGGGCACACACACACACACACACACACACACACAGCAATGAAACATGGATGCTGCTGCTACAGGTGCCTATTGTGTGACAACAACAGATTTGCAATTTGTACATTGACAGAACTGATGTTGGAAAACTTATATGTCAGACACAAACTGGCATTGAACTGCAATGATGGAAAAAGAGACACAAACACCTATGCTGTTGTAAATGTTTCAATAACAAATGCATTATTGGTGAGCAGCAATCACGTTTCTCTGCTTCATCATTAGTCTTTTAATCTTTAATGTGATATGCTTCAGACGTATTAGGATGGGGATTTTTCCTGAAACGGTGCCAAAACGCTCGTCTGGACGCAATAAAAATACCAGTGAAGCCCGACTAGACTTCATATTGATGAGCAGATGTTCTGTAAAAGGCATATCCTCATTATGATATAATATTTGATGGAGGTAAAATTATTATGGCAATACTTTTTTCATATTACGTCATTTATTTACCTTTATATGAGATCAGTTGATGCATGCAGCATCGATAAACTTTCAGCACCCTTGTGAAGGAAAGCTCCAACTTACAATGTACCATAGCAGCTCTCCTTAAGAGCACCTGCTAAGGGACCGTTTGGGAAACACTCGTAGGCAAAGAAGTTCCTTAGCTAAGGTATATCTTAGAAACCTTCGTAGAGCGCTAAGATACATCGAAACTAGGAAACAGGGCCCAGAATGTTAGTGAAGACAGTGCACCACAGCTCCCTCTCTCAGGTTCCCATGTTCTTGGTACCTGTTAACCGTATTGACTTCACACTTTAGTCTTTAATACTATAATGTTGTGGCCCTGCAGAGACTGACTCCCAGAATGTAAGAGAAAATATTACCTGGGTGGCAGAAGTGCAGTCAGTGTAAAAATGCAGGAAAGAAACAACTCACAGGCTCCTGCTACAGCACCCCCTGTTGTTTGATAAATGACACATCAGATGCAGGAGAAATGCTGCACTAATTGATGATAAAGAAACTTTTTTTTGTCTCATTTGACATTAGTAGACAGTCACATTATTTCAGTGCAGTCAGAGTCAAATCTTTCAGAGTTTCTAGAAAGGAAAATCATTTCAACATTGCAGTCCTCTCCACGAGGGGAGGTGCGACAGCAGGAAGCTCATTTGTCCAAAATTTCCACAAATTTCCACTAACCTCCTGCTATACTGACACAGATAACAGAGCAGTGGTTCTTTGACAGGATGAACATCATTTAAAGATTTGGTTACCAGCTAGTCTACCTTCATGGCCCAAACTGGCCCTTAGACACTGACTAACTTAACACCCATTGTGTTTGTTTCCATTCATCCATATTGCCTGTAACATTTAAGTCCCTGTTCTGTTCTGCTGCTTCAATTTGATCACACAGAATGAAAAAAAGAACAACTGGGGCTTTATAATTCATAAGAAGCATTGCAACAGGGGGGTGCAATTAAGTCTTAAGAGCAATTTCAAAACAACACAGCTGTGTAATATTATTCAGGCCTGTTTTTAATTTCCAACATGTGACTATAACAGGCCTGATAGGAATAAGTGGGCAACAGTTGCAGTAAGATAAGATTAACTTTATTGTCCCAAACGGGAAATTTGTTTTGGGCATAGCAGATACAACCATCATATACAAACAAGACACACAGTAGACAACCATGTAGTACAGCAAGAGTGCAGCTTTGAATAACATAGTTGTGCAATCAGGACTACTGGATGAAATAAAAACATCAACTTTATCATGACAGGTAGGGCTAAAAGAATAAAAGCTTCTTAAGGTTGCACTAGCCCAGGGTTTCAGTACTGAAAATGATATAGACAAGATAGGTTTTTTCAACTAAGCTTTCCGGTCATTCCAGTACTTGACTGCATTCTTTTGAGCATTTAGTGTTATTTAGTGTTGAGTAAAAGCAAGTTTAGAATGTTCTCTTTCATACTTTGCTATATTGTGGAGTGCCAGCCTCTTCTACATCTTTGCTATGTGTTGCTTGAAAGACCTGAACTGGCACTGTCAACATATGTACAGGGCGAGGGTCACGTGTATGACAGAGCCAACATCAGCAGGCTACCCATGCTATCAATGAGCACATCATACTTTTCGTGGAAATTAAGTTGAGCAACTCAGAATAAACTCATGGTCCACTGTTGGCCCACATCCCACCAGTTGGGTACCACTGATTCAGAGTTAGAATTTTTATTCTGTCCCAGAATGTTTAAACAGATAGTAGAAAATCATAAGGACATTAAGCATAGAGTGGATGCTTTTAAACCATCTTCAAACTGTGTGTCCTCTAGGTGTGGATAAGGAGAATGTCCAGCTGTCTCCCAGCTCTGCTCTGTCCAGTGGGGGTCGCACTCGCCATGGTTCAGCCAGTCAAGTGCAGAAGCAGCGCAGCGCTGGCAGCTTCAAGAGACCCAGCATCAAGAAGATTGTGTGATCGACCAGAGAACAGCCCCACCCTGCTCTTCCCCCTCCTCCTCCTGTTCCTCCTCCTTCTTCTCTCCACCCCCAGCCTGCCAGGCCTCATGCTGCACTCCACTTTATTTCCTCTCTCTTCTTCGTGGTTTTTGCTCTTTCAGGAGAACATGTGCATTTCAGTTTTGCATTGAGGAGGAATATATTAGCAAGGGCAAACTTGAATTTTGTGCTGCTTGAAATTTTTTATTTGAGACAGCGCAGTGGAGGAGAAGCTGGAGTGGAGGTTTCAGCTCTCCTTCACAGATATTCAGCAGCAGTTTAAGTCACCTGCAGTGATGGAGGTCACACATGTGAAACTACTGGGGGAAATAAACCCTCTGAGCCTGATGGGAGTACAGTCCCAACACCTAGGTTCACTTTGGACATAAAGTTTCCTAGACAGTTTACACAGGGAGGAAGCAGAAACTGAAGTTCTGTCTTTATGTTGAAGTTTGATCTGTAAGACGTCCCTCAGCCTTCCTTATGACTAAACACTCCTGTGTCAGTGAGATGGACCAAATGACAGCAGCGGGGTGGGGGGGGGGGGGGGGGTGGACCTTCACTCTGGACCTGCTCAGCTCCTCAGCTCACCTCTCCCAGTTCTGTACATATTTTACATAGATGATGTATAACTAGTCCTTAGTGCTAATTTAGATGTTGACGTTTTCTCCATGGTGTGCCTTTGTCAGGGTTTTTCAATGTGTACAATTTGTAAAGTAAAAGTCAAACCTTGCTGGGGACAAAGAACAGGTACTAATTATGGAGGCAAGCCGTCCATATCACCATGAGTTCACATGAGCTGAGTCACGACGGGCCTCTAATGATCGTCAAATATACAATCATCCATATACCCTGTTGCCTGAAAGTATTTATCCTGTACAGCTAGATAGCGCTACATAAATCCTCTTTTTAAACACTTTCAGAAACTCTTCTTTTCAAATGTCACAGGAAGACTGCAGAACACTAGGGGAAATACAACAATGTAAATAGTTTCAAGCTTTTCTTTATCTTTGTTTTTGTGCGTTTGGCTTTTATTTAGCTGTTTAATGTGAGTTCTTTTTAGTCTGAACTGTATTTTCAGCAGCATAGCATTTTCATTTGTTTACACAGTGACAAGGAAAATTGTGTAATAGGCAATAATCCTCAACTTTCAAACTCCTTTGTCATCCACCTGTTTTATTTGTACAGCAAACAGGAAGAACACATCACTTTGTCAGCTTGGTGCAATATGATGCCAACTTCTTAGTTGCCTGTTAACACTGAGATTTAGCTCTTGTTAATTACCTCCAGTGACAATTTGAATAGAAAAGAGACAGTGCACAGTGTGATGTTTGATCTTATCTCTCTCTCTCACACTCACACTCACACACACACACACACACACACACACACACACACTTGCATTTGTTTCACCTCAACAGTCTGAGCTGGATCCCCAACCTTCAGAGGTTTGTCCTGTGGGCTCTTTGAAGGAAAAATCCACCTGAATAGAGGCTCCCACATTGTCAAGCCTCCGGCTCATTTCACAACCATTCTATTTCACAACCATTATTTTTTGCAATGTAGAGCACATTGTTGTAAAAAATGTGTCATTATTTAATAATTAAGCCAGTTTGATCCCTTCCTGTTTAATCCTTTGACACTAGAATAAAAAAGAAACACTGAAAAGAAACCAAACTTTTCAGAAACATTGCAGTTTGATGTCCAAGCAGAGGCAGCCTTATATCAGCTTTGCCTTTTCTGTTCAGAAAACATATGATCAAAGACCTAACAAGATTATGAATCTGACCAAGCATTCTGTGCCAACTGTCTTGCTTGATCTTTTACTATACTTGTAGTCACAGACGCAGTTCAGTCAGCAGTCAGACCATACTGAGGTCCATCCTCTGCTCTGTTGTTTGGTGTATTCTTCTGTCTGGTTGCAGGTTTTCCAGCATTTTTACAATGTGGTGAAATGATGGGAAATATTTCACAGATCTAAACAGAAAGAGTAAGTTCCTGGTTTTGGTCTCAGTCCCTCAAACTCAAACACTGATTTCAAAACTCCCACCTTGCACCATCATACAGGCCATCACACCCCTGATCCAGCTGACCTAGACTGATGAGATGCCACAGTGTGAAATGGTGGATTTTTCCTTTTAAGAGCTATAGTAGTATTAATTCAGGTTATTGATGCAGAGGCCAACATTGTGATATAAACCCTGTTTACCCTCAGAGCACATCTAGGAGCAAGAGATCCTTTAAACCACAGGCCTGCTCTGCATTACAGGAGGTGTCGCTGTCAAAATACAAATCTGGACACATTTGGAGAATGCTCTTCCAGAATTTAGTTTGAACGCATTTACTACCTATCAACCATAACTGACTTGTGACTGTTCTAGATAGTTAAGTGTGTTTCTGACTTTCCAGACAACCATTGGTTTCCATTCATTTCACAATGTTTCACAGGATCAACCTTCAGAGAGTTGAAACTTGCTTGAGGTTTCTACTCCATCACAGTTAACATCATTAGAATTGTTTGTGGTAATGCGGTACACACTGAAAATGTGAACCAATGGCTACCTCTAGGGTAGAAAGGCACAATGAGTTCTAAAACCATAGAAATAGAATGGATAGAAAGGACATTGAACTGTCTGCTGTGGTCATTTGACTTGTTCAAAAGAATATGGTGATTGTTGTTAGTTGTTCTGGTTACAACACATCAGTAAAGAGTACACCATGTAAAGAGTGCCACATGTACTAGTTTGAGAAATCTGTTTTGGCCTATTCTTACATCTATGTTCTTTACTAAACAGGAAAAATACATCTGTACACCAACCCAAGTTTCTCTCTTTAACCCAACCAACACTTCCAGCAGCTTCATTGACTTTTAAGTTATTGTAAAACACACTTCAATAAAACTCCACAGTAGAGTTGCCGGGATTTACTGTTTTTAAGGTATACAATGATGACGTTGTTGTTTATCATTCCGTGTACATTTGCTAATCTACAATAATGAAAGAAAATGCAACTGCACGTAGAATCTCCCCTTTATTTTAGTTATTTCCTAAGGGGACATTTTTTTACACATACCTCCATTAACAACACGGTTTCAAATTTCAGTTATAGTAATAAAAAGCTTGTTCAACCAAGAATAACATTTCCATTTTCATTCTTTTAAGGGTCATTCTAACTGATAATAAGATAAGTTCTGTGATACTGTGAATCCGCGATATTTTATGAGATGGTTAATGTAATGTGAAAAACTCAAATCATTGCAACCCTACTCCACAGAAAGAACATAAAACTCAACAAAACTGGATAACATTAGCCTTTCCATTTATCCAACCATCACCAACTCTGGTTTGGTGGAACTAAACCATTGAGCAGCGGCTCTCACTCATTCATCAGAGGCACCTACAGTAATATTACTACAAAAGAAACAGGGAAATACATTATGATTTTAGAAATAACGGATTACTTATTTAAAAATGTACAACTCCACTACATCGTCACTGTAAAATGTCACCTCAGGGAGTTCGTGACTTGTCACAAGTTGGTTTGTTTATATGGAATTCTATATGGAAGTTAGCCTGCTGCAACAGTACAAATAAAAATGCCCATCCTGTTATGTTTATTAGAATGGGAATGTCCTTTCTGTTCATTTGGTTTTTATGTCTAAAACACTATGGTTTGCTGTGGAAATACTCCCATGGTTTGTAGTAAATGGATTTAAACTTACAGAAGCTCTGGTTGCTGTGACAGCATCTGCACACACATGTTGCCACAGTTTGGATTGTTTGATTGAGCAGGTGTAGTGGTCAATCAGCAGCTGTGTTGACCAGTGCTCTTCTCGAAGCCTCCGTCCACAGCTCAGCAGGGTTGGTTTGTCAAAATGCTTCTATCCTGCCTTAACATCTATGCATGGCAAGAGTTGAGTAACGTTGTACAACTCTGACTTTGTTTTTGTCTGAGCAGCGTCTCCCCACGTCTGCTGCTCACAGTCTGACATTGTTTCCAAGTGTTCATGTTACCTTATGGAGACATTTGTTAATCAAATATCTACTGACTTTTTTTCTTGTATTGGAGTGGTCTGAGGGGATATATTATTTTCTCCTGTCCATGCAGCTCATTCAGTAAACTCATGATAATTAGATAAATTCCATGTAAAGGGACATTTTCATTGAAGACAGCCTCAGAAACTGTATTTAGTAACTGAACCTCAAAAAATGACGTAAAGGGAAGACTGAGCATAATGATGAAGAACTGAATTCATAAGTTAAATTTCAGCTGTGGAAGCAGACTTCAGCACATGAATGGGTCCAAGAGAATTTTGACTTTTCTTGTAGGCCTCCATCACTGACATGATGTCACTCATAGATTGGCTCCTACAAAGAGATTCTGGACTTTCAGTAGGTTTGATGATTAACACCCCCAAGTTACAAACTAGTTTATTCAATGTATTGTCTGAACACATCTGAAGGTTTAATATTGTTCTGAAAGGTCAAACTTAATGGTTGAACAAAGAGTCTGCCCATCACAGAGAGGCAATAAATCATACAAACGGGGATGACGGCACACACTTTCCAACATAGAGCATTTGTGATGTGGCACACAGTCAGACACATGAAAGTGAATGAAGAGAGAAGTTCAAACACTACCTGCTTTCACACCTCCGTCAAGGTTGTTTCAGATGCTGTAAGACGGTCCAGCAGGCACTTGGTTTGAAGCATAACATGGCCTTCAGTCAGTGATGTTACTGAACAAAAAAATGTGTCAGAACCTTGTTTGATGTCTGGTCTAAACTACCTTTAAACTGGACTGCAAAAGAGCTAGACCACATGGACCGACTGATGGATTATTTAATGAAATATAAGCCCTCTTTTTCATGTAAATAGGCCTAAACTAGTTCAGAGACAAACATGGAGTTTCGTTCTCTTTAGGTTGGGTACGGTTGCATTTTGTAACCCAGGATGTTTGGAGCAGTGATCTAAAGGTCCAGGGTGGGTCAGGGTTGGGTCAGGATTTTAGGATCTGAAATCAGGGCAGCTGAAGCTATAAAGGTACATGTTTATTCTGAGTTTAGTGTCCGTCTCCACAGAAACGTCTCACCATATAACTCAAACCATCGTCTCTACTTTTCACCGTCTTTCCCTCTCTTAAAGCTTCACTCCCTGATTTCGTTCTTAAACAAGCCCACAAACCTTCAGTGACTATTTCAGTGACTGTACCTTTAACAAGATACAGCCAGGAAAAATCTGAAAGCAAGGCTTATTTGAGCTCCGTGTTCACAGGTTGTCATTGTTTCCAGGTTTTAGTGTGACTTGTGTGTGAATGGAATTATTAAGGATTACGTATCCATAACCTCTTAAACAAGTGGTTGACTTGCACTAACTTAAAAACAGTCATGGGTTTGTAAAGATGAAAAACCTCAAAATGTGGCATGTTTTATTTGATGTTATGCAAAATCTAATGTCTGTAGAGTAATAGTCTGAGTTTTGTTTTAATGCAGTATGTGTGATAATTGTAAATACTTTGTGTACAATTTGAGATGGTATATTTACTACACTGTACATACATGTGATATTGTATCATTTTGTTTTTGTAAAGCAGTTAGTTTCTGTATAATACTATACAAATTGAACTATTCCAGTGTTAGTAATAAAATGTTTTGCTCTCCACAAAATTTGAGCCTGCATGATAATACAGACAAGATTCACCTCAAGTTCAAATGCCAAGCCGGATGTGGAGAAAATCCAACATCACAGAATTTTTGGCCAAATGTCTCACTATCAGTGTTGTAGGCTTGATTATTGGTGCTTTACGCGAGAGTTTTGATCAATAATCATCAGTAATAAGGATGTAATGACTCAGTGGAAAAGCCAAATAATAGAACAGTTACAACAGACTGGTAAGTTCAGAATAAGACATGGTTTTACTGTCATGCAGCCTTTGAAACCAGGAAAAGACAACACTTATCATATTACATATCCAAAATCAAAGATCATATCTCATCTCTCATCATGATATCACTATATTGCCCAGTTCTGCCCCACACTTTTTTTTATTTGGAATTCAAGCCCGAAGGCCTGAAACCCTATTGTTGTTGCGTTGACTTATTTTTGGGGGGTCCACGCAGCGACTACTGCTGGAGCCCTGTTGTTTTTGCTCAGATCAGTCATATTCTTTTTCTCTGCTAGAAGTATACAGCAAAAACTGAATGACAAAAACTCACCAAAATTGTCAGGTAAGTTGCAAATTCCACGCACCTCTTAGGCATACAAAATGACTATCATTGACCTTAAGGTGGTGCTGTAACAATCAAGTTTACATTTTTGCAATGACCTCGATGACGGCTCGGCTTAGAGTCAAAATTCTCTCACCATACTAATCTTGCAATTCATCTGCATCTTTGCTCCAATGCTCTTCTCTAAGATTGCCAAATTTTGCTACTTTTTCTCAGTGTGCTCTTATTCATACTTTCGCAAACTGGTCCCAGACTGCTGGTCCAATCGTCCCGAAACTTTGGCAGAATCAGCCACAGACATTGCTGGTCTAAAGTTATCAAAGGAGTTTTGATACATTAATCCGTTCTTCAGTCATGCATTTTCAAACATTTGTCTTCAAGTTTAATTTCACATAAATATTCACAAATCAAACCTGTGCACATGTCTGAATGCTTTGTCCAAGCTTCGCTAAGCACTTTTGGGATATTCTGCCAATAGAGAGAGCCACAAATGCAAAACGTTTATATCTCTTAATCAGCTATAGGGATTAATACGAAATTTGGTTTGCACCATCTAGGGTCATAGCTTAGTCGATGCATAAAACTATTGCTTATTACAATAAATCCAAATTTCACATTCCAAACTTCAAAAACCACAATAAATCACCAGTATGTCCTACAGAGCTAACAGTTTTTCAGCACATCCACTGAATTGTGACAATTCACTGCAACCTATAGACAATTCAGAAGTCTGTCACTCTATATTTTTAAGAATATGCTAAATTAATTAACACCTATATCTCATCAAGTCTTCATTTAAATGCAACCAAAATTGACACAGACATTCTTTAAATATTAGATATCACATGTTTAAAATGGTGTTCAAATCAGTTTAACCGTGAGTCTACAGTGATATTCAATATCTTGTTAGAATTTGTACTATATGCACAACATTTTCTATTTCATCTCATTTTCAATCAAATGTCACCAAAAGAGATTAATACGAAATTTGGTTTGCATCATCTAGGGTCATAACTTAGTCGATGCATAAAATTTGGAAATGTTTGCTTAAAGAGGGTGGGGCTTATTACAATAAATCTAAATTTCAAGACATTTCACATTCCAAACTTCAAAAATCATAATAAATTACCAGTATGTCCTACAGAGCTGACAGTTTTTTCAGCACATCCACTGAATTGTGACCAAAGTTTGCCTCACTGCAACCTATAGACAATTCAGAAGTCTGTCACTCTATATTTTTAAGAATATGCTAAATTGATTAACAACTATATTTCAAAAAGTGGTGATGAAATGGTGTTCAAATCAGTTAAACCGTGATACTGCAGTGATATTTAATGTCTTGTTATAATTTGTACTGTATGCAGAACTGTATGCACATCTATTTCATCTCATTTTTAATCAATTGTCACCAAAATATTTGACAATACACCTGAAATCAGCAGAATGATGTGAGATGTTTTTGAATTGTATCACCAACACTTTGACTGTTGGAAGTGCTTTAAAACTAAGAAGACAAAAAAGGCGTGTAAGGAGCCATTTGTTCCTGGTGCTGCAGTGAGTAAGTCATTTGCTTGGGGACACAGAGGTACAGGGTTTGAATCTCCACACTGACAAGTACCACATTTCCTTAGCAACTTTCACTGAAGTCTTTGACAATATGCCAGGAACCAGCAGGTTGATGTGTGATGTTTTTTCAGGATTGCGTCCCCAACAGATAAATAGTTGTGAATATTTTAAGTTTTGCAACCTCCCTCTCTCTGTCTTCTGCTTCTGATGCTGCTTTGGCTTCCTGGCCTTTGAGCTGGTGGGTGGGGTTAGAGAGATTGTTTCTGCCCAGCTGCTGTGAACTCTCGTGGTTTAACAGCTGACTTTCCATATCCTCTGCTACTTCTATAAATTTCTAAACTAAAATTCCCAGTCCCTTTGACTAATCTCAAATATCCAATAAATTCAACTCCAGTAAACAGAAATGAAGCTCAGCCAAGTTCAATCAGCAAGACTTTCTTTGTGCCTATCCATTCACAATTCTCTCCATCCTACTTCCACTGCTTCCTCTAATCAGCTGACTCTGTGTTAACTCTTCTAGTTATCTAATCAAACTTTGCCACAATCTCTATCAGCCAATTTTAAATCTGCTCTCTCCTTTGCTGCTGTCAGCTGTCATTTTAGGCAGAACTGTTGCAGTTGCCAATCGCTCACTTAACCTTTGTCTTTTCAATCTCTCATCGATAGTAGCAACTGGATGTGCGATTCCTCAGCAGAAGCGAAATCATCTCTCACCCATCATGTTCTCCCATTCAGGCTATCTCGCCTGATATCAGTCAGAATTGTCAACTCCTAACGTCATTCTCCATTTCCATTGTCAGTCATCTTGATCTCAGTGCAGTG